GTCATGTGACTGGCCTGACTAAATGCCGAAGGTGCACAGAACGCTGTTACCTTCCCACCAAGGTGGTCCCTATTTTTCTACTTCCATTTTTACATGCTTTCAAACTGCTAGGTTGGCAGAAGCTTGGACAAGTAATGGGAGCTCACTCTGTTACACAATGCTAGGGATTCGAACCGCTGAACTGCCAATCTTTCTAATCAACAAGCTGAGCGTCTTAGCCACTGAGCCACTGCGTTCCTAAATAGTATTTAGTGCAATATAAAAAATGCAAATAATTTTTCTGTGGACCACCAAAATTTTCTCATGCACCACCAGTGGTCCATGGACCACCAGTTAGTGACTGTTGGACTAGAAGACCACTGAGGTTCCTTCTAGCCCTATGATTCTATGTTCTAAAAACTGAGGGGGACATGGAGAACTTGCCTTCAGTTTATATGTCCATCCTTTAGTTTAATGATTCATTTGGTGTTTGTTTGCTGAAAGGAGTGGTTCCTCAGTATAAACATGTGTTAAAGAAGCAGTGACGGGAATATCAAAAGATTTGCAAGTTCCTGTCAACTATGGGAAGGGTGAAAGAAGGGCACTTTGAAAAAAATGATATATCTAATTGCTTGTAAGATTTTCTGAAATCTAAATTTGGTTTTCTTCCTCCCCTAAATTCCTACTAAAAGAAATAAAAAGGGTGTTTCCTTAATGTCATTGAGGCATGCTTTATAAATAACTTAGCAGCAGAAATGAAAGAGGCATAGTTGGTCTCCAGCCAATTGGCCCCAAACCCTTACTTTAGTTGAATGCATTCCAGAGGGATGAGCAAAAGTCACTCCCTACGTAGGTTGAAACTAGCTTTACACAACTTATACTCCACCAAGCTGTGTGCAAGTGGCAGTTACAGCGAGTTCCCTTCCCTCTGTTCAGGAAGAGGAAGAGTCTTGAGCTCTTTGGGACCCCCTTCTGTGATTGCTGAGCTGTGTTTTCTTTGAAAATTCGTCAAATAAAGTCTCTTATTCTCAACTCTCAATTCACATCATTGCAGAGATCAATGAGCAAATTTATTTCTTAATTATTCAAGACGTATCATTATTCTGGACTATATTAGTTGCTATTCTCAGTAAGTAAGTGAATGAATGATAATTCATTCACTTACTGATAATTTGAGACAGCTCATAAATATGCACATATTCATCACGCTATTCACTTTTGGTAAACGAAGTAATGCAGAGCACCTCAACTTCTTTTGCAGTAGTGACTGGCTACTGTGTTCCATTTCCCTTTACTAAACATTCCGTCTGATGATATGCTGACTTTACTTCGAATCAGTCTTAATAGCCACCTAAAATATTCTACAATTCAAAGCTATTCATTTTATTACGTACATACATACAAGCTCACAAACACATGTAAAACACCTTCATATTTACACATTTTCTATTACCCATAAGATTTAAAAGTAGGTTTACATGCCCAGCAAAAAGCTCCATTACTCCCCAAACTTTTCTCATGGTCATTTCAATTTAGTCAAACTCTGGCAAATACTAGTCTGGGAACATTTAACAAGCTAAGACCCCTTTGAGGGTCCTTGATGCTCTTTGTAGTAGCTGGTATACTTGCAGATGTTTCATTACCCAAACTAGGTAACATCATCAGTGCCAAGACCCCATTTATTTTGTTTTCACTTTTGCTACTTTCTTTGTATACAGGAATAGTAATAGTATTCTTCCAATTTTCAGCACAGACACAGTTTTTGCACGCTCATTAAGTCACACAAACACTCGATAAACCAATTGTATTGTCACATTTCTTATAACATCTACTCTCCCAACTTTACCAGTTTTCAAAATCCTCAGAATATTTACGACGTCCTTTTTATCATTTCCTATCTTGGGAACCAACATTTATGACATTCATTTCAGTTCTACTGTTTCAAATATCATTATCATTTCTATACAGACTTCCAATATTCTCTTACTTTTGTTTCACCCGAATAATGTAATCATTTTTGCTTTCAATTCCACTTGTTATGCTGGAAATTCCTTATTTGGCTGTCTCCCCCCACTTTCCAGAATGTTTTAAAATTTTTGTAAAACTCTGAACTTTCTCTGCCTTTCTTAATCTTAACTGTTAATTTCTCTCTTTGATTACATTCCTTGAAGCTATGTTTTTATTTCTCTATTTATATTATACAACATGTTTCTCTTATGCTCATTTTTTTTTTTGCAGCAACCATTCTCTGATATGCATTATTTTTTTCTTTTATCCCCATACATCCTTTTTCAGCCTTCTCACTGGCATCCACTTTCCATCCATTCTACTGGAAAATCAATTTATCTTTTAATACTTGTTCATTCAACCTCATAGTTTCTTTTCCTCGGGGCATTCCACTTTCATTTTAGTTTCTTTTATTCCTTTCCTTCCATATCAGTTTCCCTCCAAGGTCTGCTCTTAACAATACCCAAAAATGTCTTGCTCTACATTCAGAACATCTCATCACCTTACTATCCCTCATTGATTCTTTCAATTTTTCATCATAAAATAACACATTGATAATGCTTCCAGATTTATATCCATTCTTTTACCATGGGTACATTGACATATTTGAAAGAAGCAGACTTTTTTCTAAACAGATACTTTGTAGTCACCTTTTTTATTTATTCTTTTGGTCAGTTCCACTTCATCTTTTTCCCAATCCATCCATTCATGTCATCTAACTTTGTGCCATGGATCATGTTCATTTGGAACACTGTGCAATCTTTTTTTTCCCCAGACTTATTTCTGATTCTTAACCATCACCAACCTATCAATTCTTATTTCTAGATATATGCGTAACAAATTAGATGACACCAATTCATATTTTATGACATGCATTTTATCTCTGCTTTTCATAACTAAATCTATGTTACATTTAAGTATATGGAGGAATACTAATTAACTGTACTCAGCAAAACCAGATCACCTTATTCAGTTCTATTACAAGCCTCTCCTTTTTTTAATTTCATGGAAACCCAACCTATCTGTTTTTCGCTCATCTATTTCATCATCATCAGAGTTGGAAGGGACCTTAGAGGTCTTCTAGTCCAACCCCCTGCTCAAGATACAGGAGATCCTATACCATTTCAGACAAATGTTTGCCAATCTCTTCTTAAAAGGCTCCAGTACTGGAGCATCCATAACCTCTGAAGGCAAGCCGTTCCACTGGTTGATTGTTCTCACTGTCAAGAAATTTCTCCTTAGTTTAGGTTGCTTCTGTCCTTGGTTAGTTAATTTCATTAGTTAATTACTGTTTGTACCATTTAGTCTTCTTACATTCCAGGCTGTGCCCTTCCATACGCTATGATAGATATGGGCCATAAATACTGACTTTGCTACCCATCATGGTTTTGTTCAATTCAGTATTTGATATAATATTTTTAATAATATAGAGAAAGTAAAATTACTAGCCTTGATCATACTTGTGCCACATGCAGCATTCCTTGCTACCAATAAAGCCAATAATGGTTAGGTTGTTTGGGATTTTTTTGGCCACTATGACCTGCAACTACAACCCAAATCCAGTGTTACTTCAAACATGCTTATGCTATCCTATGCAAACTAGGATCTCTAATCTAGCAGCTGCTTTATAATTCAAAGTGCCTACATCCCACTAACTAACATATGCAATGCACTGACATACACTTAAAATATGTAGTAAGTTATTTCCTTAAAAAAATGAAAATAGCATGTGGGAGCAGCCTTTATCAGTTTGAGACAGCAGAGGCCAGAAAAGGAATTTTACATTTATCCTGTTCTATTGCAGCTGATTTGGATGAAATATATATTTTGGAGAAGATCCAGAACAAGGATTGTACATCTATAAAAAGATTCCATACTTACAAATAATACAAAAATAACATAGTGACACTCTAGCATAAATAACAACAATATACTGTCCTTTCCATAAACACACAAAGGCAAGTAATCCTGACTAAAAAAATCACAACCTACAGGCAGGAGATTCATTTTTTTTTACTGTGTCAATCCTCCCAACCTTTTCAGAGCAACTTTCTTAGTAACTTAGTTAGATCATGTATCTTTCTTTGGAATACCTGAGTCGGTGCTCAGATTAGGAAATATTATTATAAATCTATAACTAAACTCTATCTGATCAAAATTTAGCTAAATTGTTCCAATAACCCATAGATCCAATAATCATTCCATGTCAAAACTGTTGGTTCTCCTATATTTTGTATTCTGAGTGAGAACTGGGAAAAGACATATGCTCTAGCAATAACAAGATGCCTTTTGCAAATCAAAGAGTCTGTGTCAAAAACCTAGAATTACAAATGTAAAGACCTGCATTCCCAGGCCAAATTTCCCATAAGGAGACTGTTTTTGTCACAATAAGAAAACATGAATTTCACAGCCAGTGTTGGGGGTCACATCCCCTTTCCACATTGGCACAGAATGTACAACAGCATATACAATTCTCTTAATTTCCATCATAAATAAAATGTTCGAACACAGAGCATAGTAACATCTGTTACATATAGTATATTTATTTTTAGATGATCTGGAGGGCTAAACTAGCACCCTATCCTAAGAAGAAGAAAAAGAACCCAATCTTGTTCCCATACTAGTTTAAGGAAGCAAAACCAGGAAATTCCTGAAAATTTGTAGGTATGATCAACTTCTGCTCCAAGACCACACAGAACAATGGAGAAAGTAGGAACCTTCTACACACAGACATTATTTTTGCACAAAAAATAGCACACAAAGGTGTTATCTAAGGCTGAGGGATCTCCTTGTCCCACACCCTCTAAGTTTCTCAAGCTCTAGGTGATAGAAATTATTGGCTGACTGGATCAATGGCAGTAGAGTCTGTTGAGAGGTGAGCCAGTCAAAGATTCCTTCTCCACCCAGCCATAGGACTGGGATAGGATAGCCAGTTGACGTCATAAATTTGACTTCATCTCCTGGCACTAGAATGTTATATTTATAACAGCACCAGGAGTAGTGGAACTGGAATAGGCGTGCCTAACTCCTTTATCCCCCTGTTTTTTCTATTTGCTTTTAAAGCTTCCCGGGAGAGTGTGAGAGCAATTCTTTGCTTGTCCATGCAAGGACAGATAAGCAGCAAGAACAGAGTATTTTTCAGGTGGGCAGTGCAGGCATATCCCTTTGCTGTCGACAACAACTCTTCTTCTCCTCTGAACCAGATCACAGTCAAGGTAAGTCCATGCCAAAGCTTAATTATGGGAGCAGTAGAGTACACTAATCCTAGTAACAGGAACAATAAGGGTGGATCTCTCTCTCAAGCTTACCAAAGACATTTTGTTGTATTGCGTCCCTTACCTGATATGCCTAGTTTAATAGAGATGTAACATAGGTTCAGCAAAGTTTTTAAGAACTTTTCATATTTCACCTTCTGAAAACCATTTTAGACTATTATAAGGATTAATGGATAGAAGAGAGCACTGTCCTAGGGAGAGACAAGGATTCATTCAGGCTCAGCATGAGGTTTTCCACTGGTGATATTTAACTAGTTAGATTATTTTCTCTTTTATCTTCTTTTTGTACAATTATTGGGAAGGTAAAATATCCTATTTTTCAGAAACTTTTCACCGAATAGCTTGGATAAAGAGAAGACTGGAAAGGGTAGAAGATCTTTTCTAATAGAGAAATCATTATTAGATAATTTTATAGCATTCATTGAAGCCTGGATCTTTCATGGTAATTTATTTCCCAAAATGATCTAAAAAAAAAAAAAAAAAGTCCCGGGAGCACAGCGAGGCATGATGTAGCTCCAGTCTCAAGTAAGGAGGTGTCCAGAGTAACACTGATTTGGAGACACCTAGACTTGCCAAAAGCTTTTTCAAACAAAACACTATATGACTTGTGTGACCATCTTCTCCAGGTAGAATGTTAGACAATCTGACAAGAAAAGTTGGAGCAGTTCTTGGCCCCTAGAAAGCTTAGGGGTGGGAACCCTGAAAATGGCATGCTTAATGGCAGCCTGGTCCCTGTCAACAGCTTCCCCTTGGAGACTGGGCTACCTCTTCTCTTTCTTTCATCTTTTAGAGAACTGGATAAGACCTCCCTCTTACAGAGGAGTTATAAAGAGTGAATTTTATGAAAGACCGCAGATTGCCCACCCTGATTCTGTCCAAGATTTAACATTTCAAGCATTTAACATTTTATTGGTTTTTTAAAATGTATCATTGTAGACCACCTTCCATTACTGAAAAAAGTGACATACAATCATAATAATAACTAAATAAATATTCTTTGTTGCCATGTAATGCCATCAGGATTGTATAACTCAGAACTTGAGAGTGTGGGAGGTACCAGATTTAAAGTATAGACACTGATCTGCTTCTGTTAACCAGTTTGCTTTCTATCAATATATAGCAAGGATCAAACCACAATCATTTTTAATACAACAGAGATAAAAAAGAACCATAATTTGTGGATTGACAATGTATTAATATAACAAAGTTGGGCTGTGATTTTGGAGAGGATTTGTGTGTAAGGGGACTGAGTTACATTCTTTGTACTGTTATCAGTATTAGCCTACCTAGATCTGTTATGCTTGTGCCTAACAGTGGATATCACATTTCCATTTTTCAGTAGATTGCTGCTGAATTTCAGGAGGGGTTAAAAAAGATCAAGATGTCAGCCATGACCATGTGATTGAAGCCCCACCTATTTTGTCCAAAGGTCGCACACAGTTGTACCTGCCATTTTAATATTTTCCCTCCCCCACAGGGGCATCTCTGTTTATGGGATCAATTAGGTTAAAGTGGCAGGTGTAACCAGGCATTCCAAACCCTGTTCCTATTTATACATGTTTTGCATGCATCTCATGCATATAAAAAAGGGTGGGGCTTCGATTACTTAGACACACCTGCCATTTTTGTTATTTATCTGCCCTGGATGTCTCTGCCTGCCACTTCCCTCTTTGTTTATAGGGGTTGCTGCTGCTGCTCCTTCAGAAAAAAATAGATTATCGTTTACAATAAAGTCCTGGTGTTTGATGGATCGGGTTGTTCTTAAATTATAGAGACCCTTGTAGTGTTTTTCCTATTTCTTCTCCTATGTAGAAAAATATGGAGTTCATAAAAAGATGTGCCTTTTTCTTGCAGTAAGGGCCTTTCCTATGGTTTGATTTCTTAATCTCAGTTTAACTGACCTATCTCCATCCCATTATTGGATCCAGATTCTATGCCCCAGCACTGTTCCCAATCCGAACAGATGATGTTGGGCTAAGAAAATCTGTGATCTAACTTGGGATAAGGCCATTTTATATTTTCATGTGAAGCAAATAAGAAAGTACTTGATTCACACAAAAAATCATGGGCTGCCCCCTAACCCCACTGGATGAAAATAGCTTTTATCCATGGGCTGTTAGACTTTTAAATGAAACACAACACCACAACCAGTTTTAATATGACAGGAGGCTCATTTAATTTCATTGTACACATCTTATGCATTGACAATAAAGGTTTGAACTTTGAACTAACTTGGTCTGTTTTTTAACATATTTATAACCCAAAATTTGCCTTATTTCCTACAGGTTTTCTTTTAAGACAAGTCACCTGAAGTGCCATGACTACTACTGTACCCCCAGGCTGTGGCAACATACAGTATGACTACAATTTGCTCTGTAATACCAAAGCTTATTGGGGAATTATTCTGGAAGCTCTAGCAGCAGCTGGTGCGACTGTCACAATCATCCTCATTCTGGTGCTTTTTTTCCTTATCAGTAAAACCCAAGACAATGCAAAACGTAGCCTGATCCCAATCCAGTTTCTCTTCCTCTTAGGTACTCTAGGAATTTTTGGGCTCACATTTGCTTTTATCATCAGGCTCAATGAGCAAACCGGTCCCACACGTTTCTTCCTTTTCGGGGTCTTCTTTGCCCTCTGCTTTTCCTGCCTTCTGGCTCATGCTTTGGACCTCATCAAGTTGGTGAGAGGAAGACGTCCATTTTCAGCACTAGTGTTGCTGATTATGGTCCTTAGTTTGACTGTTGTACAAGTGATTATAGCCGTACAATATGTAGCAGTCAATATCAAAGCCTTGAAGGCTCTACACCGTGTGATGAATGACGAAAGACGAAGAGACTTTATTTTAATTCTCATCTATGTATTTTTCCTGATGTTTCTCCTTTGCATAGTTTCCATGTTTGTGTTTTGTGGCTCATACAGGAGGTGGAAGAGGCATGGTATCCACTTATTCTTCACAGCTTTGTTCTCCATAGGCATTTGGGTGGCATGGATTGCTACCCTGATGTATAATACCAGTACTTTAGGGCTAGCTGATGATCTTCTCATTGGTATTGCTCTGATAGTAAATGGCTGGATTTTCCTGTTTCTGTATGCAATACCTGAATTCTGTGTCCTCACTGCTCCACGGAAACCTGGAGACTACCCTCTGGAGAATAATACTTGCCAGCCAAAGGGCATGAAAAAAACCTATGGAATAGAAAATCAAGGTTATGCTCAGGAAGACAACACACAAGGTAAGAACAACTAATATATTCCAATGAAAAGAAAATGCTAGCTGAAAGAAAATGCTTCAAGCAAAAGATTCATAATATTATTCAAAAAGCTAACATTACTGATGAATAACATATACAGTAAATTGATTGATCATTAAGCATTAGTTCAACTACTGGATGTATTAATAATCTTTAAGTATACACAACAAGGCCTTTATTCTATAATGGGTTTTTTTGAAATGATGATGATGATGATGAAGAAGAAGAAAACAATAATAAATTAAGCACCCTTATGTATCTTGATTCATCAAACAAATTGCTAATTAACTTTTCGTGTATTAGAAATACACCATTCTATAACATAAGAGAACATCATTTTTGCTATTTTAATAAACAGTGAAAAGCACATTAAAATTTTACGCAGGGTTTCATCAATTAAAACCTATCTGCTTATTAATCAGCCAAGATTTTAATTGAACAATCCACTAATTGAAATATGCAACTTTGTTAAAAATTTCTCTGATAAACTAATCTGTAACCAGAATTAATTTAATTAAAACGTTATTTGTTGAACTGCTTGAAAGGCTTTAGTTGAACCTTTTGTTAGCATGAAAAGATAAATTTGTGACACATACACATTGTGACTGTCTAAATATTTCATTTGCTTAAAGAAGAGTTGGGATATCTAAAATTGTTCAGAAGCATCAATAACAAAGATGTTTTGCAAGAACCCTTTGCAAGAATTAATCATTCCTCCTTATTTCAATGCAAACAAGAATATCTTATGAATTGCATATGTGCAACAAGAGTTGGACTAAATGAGGAAGATTTTAGATTTACTGTATATGCAAGTCCTGCCTCCAAATATCCCATGGGATTGTCTACTCCTAGAACACTTCCATCCACCTATCACTATTGACTTATCACTGTTTACACTATTTTTTTGCTATAAAATCTTCATAATTGACAATCAACATTCCTGTGGTTAGCTGTGGTGGTGCCGTGGTTAGAATGCAGTATTGCAGACTGATTCAGCTCACTGCCAGGAGCTCAATCCTGACCTGCTCAAGGTTAACTCAGCCTTCCAAGGTCAATAAAATGAGGACCCAGATTGTTGGGGGGCAATATGCTGACTCTGTAAAGTGCTGTAAAGCTCTATGAAGCAGTACATAAATCTAAGTGCTATTGCTATTTCAACCTGAGATATGCCTACCAACCTCTTCATCATCTCACCCCATTTGATTTGCAGCAAGAAAGAGGGTGAAAGGCAGAGGTGGTATTCAGCAGGTTCTGACCAGTTTTGGAAAACCAGTAATGGAAATTTTGAGTAGTTCGGAGAACCGGCAAATGCCACCTCTGACTGGAGATTTTACAGTATCCTTCCCCTGCCATGCCCACCAAGCCACAGCCACAGAACCAGAAGTTAAAAAAAATTGAATCCCACCACTGGTGAAAGGGACATTTTCCACATTAGCTGGCAAGCCCTGGAAATTGGCAAGCTATGGCATTGTGGGGTGGGGAGGGGGAATCCCAGGACCTAGGAGATGGCATGTGACTCATCTTGCCAAATGGTCATACATTCTTTATAACTCTTTTTAAGAATAGATTCCAAAAATAGAAATAGAGATTCCAAAAATAATATAAAATGACCTTTTTTGACCTAGTGAAACCTAGAGGTGTTGAGATGGCACATTTGAAATGTACTAGGAATTGAGCATTCACAGTGGTGTCAACT